CTACAACGGTGACATCGAGTTCTCTTTGCTGAAGGAGAGGGTGCCGAGGTACTTCGCAGTCAGTGTGGATATGAGATCCACAATCATGGCAAATGACGAGGGTTGTGTCAAGGCACGAATGCTCTTGTAACGCTTCAGAGAGTCACCACATGTACGTGTGGACAACGAAGTGGAACACAGTCCTTATAGTCTAAAAGGAGTGGTTCAGTGGATGTGCAACGAAGGGATGTGCGAAGATGGAGATGTGGACATGACAATGCTCCAAAAAGGGGGAACGTATGCACCTGCAGATTTCAAAAAGTTGTTGGGCACTGTGACGAAGAACTCCGACATGCTTGTTGATGGGTCCAAGGACGAGTTGAAAAGTGGTGGTGCGGAGATCTTGGTGTTATCTAGAATGAAGGACATCACCTAAACACCACCGCAGGACTTTCAAGATGTTCCTGTAATTGTTGCAGATGGTGTGGAATATGTTCTGCTGGATCAGCTCTGCGATTCCATAAAAAAGAGTGATAAGGACAGGAACGTCATCCACGAGGCGTTGCACGAAGTGACAAAGTTTGCACTGCAGGGTAAAGATCCGATCGAACTTGTGCCAGCGAGAGGAGAAGACGACTTCATATCCGGCAGACCGTTGTGGGGGGACTTATTGTCACGCGTTTTTGGACCGGCTCAGTCTTGCAAGTTGCGATGTTGAGAGACAAAGAGAAAGAGAAGAAGGGTGGAAGTTGATCGCCATGGAAACAAGTTTAGCAATCATTCCAGACAACGGAGAGACATCAGCAGCAGGAGAATCAATAAGCAGCATGAGAGTCGATGTGCCTCCCAGGCAGATAGCAGATACAGAGGAGGTACTGCTTGCGGATATCTTCAATGCTAACACTATGGAGAGAGATCAGTATGATGCTGGATTCGAAGACGCCGATTTGGCAAGTTGTCTTGCAATATACACAGAGAATGGAGATATAGAAGAAGATGAAGAAGAGGATGAGGAGGCATCGTCCTCTGACGTGGAGGTGAGCGGCAGCAATGTCAGCAGTGACGAGGCAGACGAGGAAGATGATGTTTACTATAATTTGAAGGGGGCGGGTGGACAAATGTTAAAAGGTTGGGCACATGCAGTTCTGAGGTTGGCACGTGCTTTGCCCGATCCGCACAATGTGCTGCGTGTTGTGATGAAGGGGGCAACACCTGACGGTGCTCGTCGGCAGGAGAGGAGATCATTAGTGGCAGACCATTGTGGGGGGGCTTGTTGGGTTGTGCTCTGGAGCGGCTTGGTCTTGCAACCCGCGATGTCGAGAGACAGAGAAAAAGGGAAGAGGGTTGGAGGATGATTGCCAGCGAAACAAGGTTACCGGTCATTGAAGAAAGCGGGGAGACATCAGCAGCACAAGATACGAGCGGGTCGATGGTGGTTGACGTGTCTACCTTGCACACACCATCGACAGAGGAGTTGGTGTATATGGACACTTGTGAGCGTTTCTTCTTCGGGGAGGAGCAGGAGGACGAGCACACAGACGATGCACAACACAGAGTCGATGCAGAGGAGGAGGATAAGGAAGAGTGCGAGGGGTCTGACGTGGATGTGAGCGGCAGCGACGTCAGCAGCGACGAAGCGGACGACGACAATGACGTGTACTACGATCTCAAGACAGCGGGTGGACAAGTAACCAAAGGTTGGGCACATGCAATCCTGAGGTTGGYACGAGTATTTCCCGATCYGCACAACGTGCTGCGTGTGGTGTTCAAGGGGGCGACACCTGATGGTGCCATGCAGTATGCTGCAGTGACCACCATAATGCGATCCTGCAAGAAGGGGGAAAAATGGTCACGTATCGACAAGGCATGGTTTGTTCTGGTGAACAGAGAGGCTGTGCTAGCAACATCGCTGACATGGGGACTGAACCTGAGTTGCCTCCTGCATGGCACAGTGGCCACAGCTTGGGGAGAGACATTGCACCCCGGCTTATCGACAGGGGACGCAGTAGTTAGTGCTCGGCCACGGCACCACACACATACACACCCACACAGCACGACAGACCACGTCAGACATAAGGGATGATGCGACACATGCATAGCACATGGCATCACAGTTGTTATACAAACAACCTGTGTATGTGTGTGTACACATGGATTCCTCAACCTGTACATCCCTCTGCTTGTACATCCCTCTCCCCCCCCCTCAGTTTGACCGACCCTCCGATTGACTACTGTGTACCATATTCGTGTTCACCGGTGTTCTCTGTCGGAGACTACTGCGGGACTACTCTCTCTCTCTCTCTCTCTCTCTTTTTGTAGGCTTAGTTGAACCTGTATCTCCCCCACAGGTTTACGACAGCGTGGAGACACTGCATATTTCTTTCTTTCATGCAGTTTATTATTGTTACGATGTTTTTGATTCCATGTTGCTTTCTAGGGCACTTCAGACTTATCAGATCGCCCTCCCATTATAACCTGATGCGTGTTTCGTGTGTGATCTTGCACCTTTTTTTTTTTTTTT